ATATATATATATTTAAAAATATTAATTTAATTTAAATATTATATGATTTACTATTACATGTCATTAGGATATATATAATATAATAAAAAACAAAATAAAGCAGTAACTCACTTGGTTCACGTTGCTGCTCAAGTTTGCAAAGGAAAGATACTCCGAACTTGTTTCTAGGGTTTCCAATGGCGATTGCAGAAACAAGTCAACAAAAATTCTATAATCCCAATCCCAATCCTAATCCCTTCAAAACAATGCAAACTGGATTCTGTTGATTCACGCTGCTGCGGATAAGCGCAGCCAGAACAAATTTTAATTTCATTTTTTCGCTTTCGAACTCCATGGAAAGGTCTAGATCTAAGAGAAACTACTACTATGACCAAGACTATGATTCCGAGACCGTCGCCAGGACCAGGCCGCGCTATAACCACCACTACAGCGCCGCCAGCCACCGCCACCGCGGCGGCGCCGCCCGCCACGCCAAGACGCAGGACTCGCCGCTGACGGTGACCACCAGCTACCGCATTCTCTGCCACGACATGAAGGCCGGCGGCGTCATTGGCAAGTCCGGCAGCATTATAAAGTCCATTCGCCAGCACACCGGCGCGTGGATCAACGTGCACGAGCTCATGCCCGGAGACGAGGAGCGGATCATCGAGATTTCGGACACGCGCCGCCGCGACCCCGATGGGAGAATGCCGTCCTTCTCGCCGGCGCAGGAGGCGCTGCTGCTGATCCACGACCGGATTCTCGAGAGCGACGCCGCCTTTGGGGTGCCGGAGGAGGAGGAGGACTACGGCGGAAGGGGTGGCGGCGGCGGCGGCGGTGGGAGCGGCCGCGTGGCCACGAGGCTGGTGGTGTCGAGAATGCACGTGGGGTGTTTGTTGGGGAAAGGAGGGAAGATTATTGAACAAATGAGGATGGAAACCAAGACGCAAATTAGGATACTCCCTAGAGATCACAACCTTCCTCGTTGTGTTTCCATGTCTGAAGAGATTGTTCAGGTGCCTCAATCAGCATAAACAATAAGCTTGGAACTCTTTTTCATCTCATTCTTAAATTGCATGCATGATGTGCTCTGATGACTAAACGAAACAAACGAAACCCCCCCTTTCATTAATTTTGCTCACCATCGGTTTGGACTGTGAGGGAGCAAGTTACTCTGCTTCTCTTTTGGAGGATACTAATTAAAATTACAGAACCGAACCGAAGATATTAATGCCCCTTTTCACGTTTCACTTTTCTCTTTGCTTCTTTCTCTCATAAACTAATGTGATAAAGCCTCCATTTTAACTGATTTTGGCTACGCCGTGAGCGGCATTTGAAGCTCTCCAATACTTTTGAGCTGGAATGGAGGAAAGATGTTCGGGTTCGAAGCTATTTCGATGTTGGATCATTGGATTTGTGCTGCATTATCCATGTTTTATAAGAAATCTGCTTTTGATTTTGTGGTGGATCTGGATCATGTGCTTCTTTGATGATCTGGTTGAACTTGGCTAGATCGAGTATGTAATTGTTGATTGATTTTTGCTTCAATTTAATCTGGTAATTGAGACAGGAAGCAGACAGTAACATGCTTATTTGAGGATAACATCTCTGACCTTATCCTTTTTATTGAGTTTAAAACCATACTGAAAAAACTGGATATGTGTTGTGCTGCTTGGCCATTCTAAAGATCTGATGTGATTCATCTGGAAATTTACTCGTTTACAGTATATATGAACTGGAGTCTGAAGGCTGATAATTAAATGATATTCTGTGCAGGTTGTAGGTGATGTAAATGCTGTAAAGAATGCTCTACTAATTATATCATCACGGTTGAGGGAGAGCCAGCACCGTGACCGTGGTCATTTTCATGGACGTGTACATTCGCCGGAGCGTTTATTTTCTCCTGAGGATGATTATATCCCTCACGTGACTAGTGGATCTCGTAGATCCTCTGTGGATGGGGCCTCTTTTGGGTCTCGGGCATCTACAGCAAATTCCAGAAACAATAACCACCCCTCATTAAGTTATGCAATGGAGCCTGGGGCTGCTCCTGTTGCTGATGATGCACAGGGCTTCTATGGGGAGGAACTTGTTTTCCGTGTACTTTGTCCAGTTGAGAAAGTTGATCGTATTATTGGGGAAACAGATGGAATTGTAGAGTTCCTTCAGAATGAAGTTGGGGTAGATGTTAAGGTCACTGAACCTGTTGGTGGTTCGGATGAACAGATAATTATTGTTACTTCGGAGGAGGTACATTCCTTTTCTTATTTTTTCTGTTTCTCTGCCTGATGTGTTGTGAGTAAGTATAGTATAACTAATGCATATTCTTTTAGGTCACTAGTTCAGGTTGCTAGTGTTCTTGGGAGACTACATTCCCTGCTTAACTTCAACTTTTTATCAGTGCATTTAATACGTTTTTCACTTACATATAATATATGTCGCATATTTGAAGTTATAACCATTACTATTTTGTATCTCAAGGGTCCTGATGATGAGCTGTTCCCAGCTCAGGAAGCTTTGTTACATATACAAACTCGCATTGCCGATCTTGTTCTGGATAAGGACAATACTATAACCACCAGGCTTGTTATCCCATCTAGTGAGATTGAATGCTTAGATGGAAAAGATGCTTCACTTTTGGAAATAAGGAGGTTGACTGGTGCTAATATTCAAATTTTACCTAGAGATGATCTACCTCTCTGTCTTGCAAAAACTGATGAACTGGTACAGGTTTGTCATTTGACTTATAACTTGCCAATATATTCTATTCGATTCCTTTGATAAATGTAGCCTGTAAGAATTACTGATAAATGTTGAGCTTTATAATGATGATAGATCTTACTCCTCAAAGCATCATACTTGTTGCACATGTACTACATTAGACACTAATTTTACAAACTAAAGAATGTATAGTTTCCATTGGCTTTTGTTATTAAAAACTTTAAATAAATGGTAGACTATTAAAAGGATCCAAATGAGAGTGAGTCTAGAGAAAATGATAGGGTTATTACCCTATGACCCAGAGGTCACGGGTTCAAGTATTGTAAACAGCCTATTCACTTGTGGGTAAGTAAGTGGATATTTAACCTCCCCAGATCCCCCATTAGGTGGGAGCCTCATGCACTGTGGTATAGAGAGGATCCAAAATCCTACCTTCCACAAGGTTTAAAACGAAGACCCAGATGCTAGATATTTAAATTCTGCTTTCTACATTCCTCAATTGTTTTTTTTTTTTTTTATTGCCATTACAGATTGTGGGAGAGATTAAAGCAGCCCGAGATGCTGTTGTTGAGGTAACATCAAGATTAAGAAGTTACCTGTACAGGGATTTCTTTCAAAGGGACACAGTGCCACCACCAGCTCCCTTACCTGGTGTGGATGCATCTTCTTCCAATAATGTAGTTCCAGTTACTGAAACTCCCACAACCTATCAAAATGTGCAAACTGTTGCAGCAGCCATTCCGTCAAAGGTATTCTTTGATGCAATGAGAAATGCCATATTATCTTTCAATATTGCCTTTATTTATGGTTATTTAAATGATTGGCATTTAGGAGATTTATTAGCCATATTTAATATATGTTTCTTGTCTTCTCTGAAAATAACTTTTAAGCATAGGAGATAGAAAAAAAAAAGATGCATGATTTTGCCAAGATATGGAGAACATTTTTCATGAGTAGTAATGTGGTATACTCTTTCTTCATTTGGGATGGGTTGAGGTTCTGTCTCCTGTTGTATATTTTCTATTTTCTTGTTTATTGAGTTAAGCTGTATCTTAACAAAAAAAAAAAAAGAGGAATTTGGCTGGTACCATTGATATATACCAATTCATATTATATGAAACCATATATTATTATTATCCAATGACAAAGTGCTTTTTTTTTAAAATTTTTTTTATTTAAGTAAGCTATATTTTTCAGTGGCTATTTTAAGTATAGTTTACTATATCAGGTGTTCTCATATGGAACAAATATATCATCTTATTTTTGCTAAAGCATGTTATATGAAACCATTAGTTACTATCCTAGTGTTTTAAAGAGTGTGTCGTCTGCACTCCTCTCTAATAGAGAATATTGTTCTTTGTTAGAAGAAAAAAATGATTTTTTTTTCTCCTGGCAGGAAGTTGGAGGATCTGGCACTGAGACAGGAAAGCCAAAAGAAAGTGACCGCCGCGATGATGTGCTTAGTAGTTTAAATAGGTAACTGGTCCTTGCTTCATTTCATAACAGGATGTTTTATTCTAGTATGGAATGACATGACAATATCTCATCCTTCTCATCTGTAGCTTTAGGTGTTACTTCTGTATGCTTTTTCCTTTCTCCCTCCCCATTAATAATGATTTATGTTCCTGCCTTCTGGTTAGGATTGCTGTGCCTCTTGTCACGAGGAGTACACTTGAAGTTGTTATACCAGAGTATGCAGTACCAAAGCTTACGGCAAAATCCAAAAAGCTTGCCCAAATAAGTGAGGTGTGTAATTAGATTTTTTAGTCCCTTAAATATTTGAGTTGTAAAGTGGTAGGAAAGGCATTCTTGTAACAGGTAGTTGGAACCTTTTAGTCCTTGTTTACTTTTATCTTCCCTCTGTCCTTCCTCTCTTCCCCAAACCCAATCTGTGAGCAGTTGAATTACTCTTAGAACAGGAAAGATAGAATTTTTTTTTTAAATGATATGAATTGTTCTGTGTTGCTTGACTTCTGGGTTGTATCTAGATCATACTAAATGTATTTTTTCCTTTTGTTATAGCTTCAAGAATAAAAAAAAAATTACTCAATAACTTCCCAATATTTTTTGGATTTAGATTGAGATTCAAGAAATTATTATCATTGTGTTACTACTTTTACTTTCAATAGAAAGCCATTTAATTTGACTTGCATTTTTATGGGAACAGTTATCAGGAGCCAATGTAACCCTTGTAGAGGGTAAAGAAGATGTGTCACAGAAGACTATTCAGATATCTGGTACTCCAGAGCAGGCTGAGAGAGCCCAGAGCTTGCTCCAAGGATTTATTTTGAGCAGTAAGTCCTCTCTCGATGCGTCAAAACGTGACTATTATTATTCTCATGAATGCATTTGTTGTTGTCTTGTTTCTTAAAGAGTAAACAGCCCTGTTTCTAAATTGAAAATTTGAAACGATGTTTATTTTTGTTTTAACAGCACAAGAAGATGGCCCTTAAGTTACTGCCCGAGACATTTTGTTCCTTGCACTGATTAGTTTTCCATATGTTTACAAGATTGTGGTGGCCAATAGAAATTTTCATTGTGAAAGAAGCATCTCACTGTAAATATTGTACTAAGAGAGAGCTTCTTTGTTAGTTTTGTTAGTAATTTAGCAAGTGCATGAGAGCAATTGTTAGCTACCCTGGATGGTGTTTTTTTCTAGTTTATCACATTTGTTAATCTCTGAGTAAGAAATCAAAAGGTTTTACTCAAGCCTGAAAAGGGGAGGGTCTTTCTCCCTCAATCATGCGGTTTCCATTATACACAGTTCTCTACCTCACTCATTAGCACAAGTCTGAACTCAGAGATGCATGCTTGATTTGAAGTTAAATATTAATGAAGATGCTTACTAAAATCAGCACGTGAGTGATGTCGTATTTGTTGAAAGATAAAAATTAAAAACTAGGATGATTATTTTGTAGTTTCATTTTTCAAAAGATATACTATTTGTTTTTCATTGACAACGTGAGATACTTGCACATAAGTGGCAAGTAGTTTGTTTTTAGGTTTGCATATTAAAAGAGCCCGAACTTGTGTGTATATCTATCTACCTAAACTTCAATTTTAACAGAGAAACTACTTTAACCTGCGTGGTTAGAGTTGAGTTCATATTTTTCTTACTTTTCTAAGTCTGGGTCGCAGATGTGATGCCTGACCTGAACCAGGCCCACTTGTTGGAAAATCACAAAAATACCCTCATTTATTATGTAATGTATTTCCCATTGTTATTATGTAATTAATAATGTTATTTCTTTTGCAGTTTATTTTAATATTAACAAGACTTTTATTTTATCAACTACTTATCGAATGAAATATAACTTTAATTAAAGGTATTTTTTTAAATAATTAATATAAGAGACATTTTTTTTATAAAATAACCAAACAATACTCATGGTATGTTTATTTTGATACAAAATTCATAACATATGAAAAAGGACTATATTCGACTATCGAGTGTCATTTAATCATCGTTTACGTCTATCATTTAATTCTGATTAATACATGATATAATGATTATAAAAAAAAATTAAATGCATTTTATTGAATAGTCTTTTTTTTTTTTTTTAATGAGTAGGGTTCGAAGTCGGTATACTATCCTAAAATGGAGAATATTGACGTACATTTGGACTAAAAAGTCCTTATTTAATATATAATTTTCTCATTTTGTAAATAGAGGTATAATTGATAAAGAAATTAGTTAGATTTTGAAATTTTAAGGAAAAGTTAAATAGTATTTTTGTTCATCTAGAATTTTTTATATGCAATTTTGGTCCTTATTTTTTTAATCACACAATTTTGGTTTTTCAATTTATAAAATTACATAATTTTAGTTCTATTTATTAATTAAATTATGAGATGACATTTGAACTAATGATTTGTCACTTTGACAGTGAAGTGACAATTCACATGGATCAATGATATGACATTTTAATAATGAAGTCATTTAATAAAATATTAATTTAAAAAATAGTAAAAAAATGACACAATAAAGATTAAAACATTTTATTATAAAAATTATTATTTAAATTACTAAGTTATTTTTACCAATTTAATTGTGATGTAATATTACTATTAACATGAATTAATAATGTATTACTTTGATAGTGACATGACAACTCACGTGGATTGATGATATGATACTTTAATAATGAGATCATTCAATATAAAATAATTTATAAAATAGTAAAAAATAATCTAATAAGGATTAAAACTTAGGATCTTCAATAAAAAAAATCACCATTTAAATTACTAAGTTTGTAATACCTCAAGTTTCTAAAATTAATAAAAAATTATTTTAATTAATTAATTGGGATTTATAAGTAATTTAAATATTTTATGAGGTAAAAAAATAATATTTTAATATATGACTTATATAAGTTATTTTATTTGTAAACGGATTTAATAAAGTGTGAGGGGAAAAGTTTTGTAACTAGGGTTAAAAAATGTAACCAGAGAACTTAATGTTGGGTTAAGGGTTATCCTTTAGTTTCTTTTACTCTTACTTTCATGCTCTTCATCTCTCTAAATTGAAGAATGGGAAAAGGAAAGCATAAGAGCATCTAGAGCACACCTTGTAGATCTTCATCCTTCATCAAGTGTTTACAATGGTAAGGTGGAGTGAGAGTTCTCTCTAACGTGTGGGTTATCTATTGGCCCTAATCGCTCTATTTGTTCTCCTATGTTTTTTGGAGAACTTATGGTTTTGATTTATATGATGAGAATTTGTGTCTCGTATAATTCGTTTAGGGTTTGTGGATGAGCTTTGTATTATATATGAAACGAATTGTGTTGAATTGGGTTATTTGTGAATCTATGAGTGTCTATAGAAACCCTTGAATCGTAGATGAGAGTGAAGATTGATAAAATTGATGATTGTTAAGTCAAAAGATGATCTAGATCCCTTAAACTTAATGTTTTAATCCTAACAAAGAAAACATTTTTTATAAAGAAGAAATGTCTACAAAAATATCTTTGAAAAACTTATAAGATGAAGTGTGAGATATAGATTGTCTATAAGACATTACAATTTGTCTCTTATATATATATATATAACAAAGTTTTCTTTAAATACTATATTCCTTAACAGATCGAACCAAAAAGTCATCCTGAAACTCACAAATTTGTTAAAGAGAAGAACCATATTTTCCGTCAGAACCAAAATCCTTAAAATCACAGAGTAAAGCAGATAAAGTCATTGCTACAACTATTCTACACTAACATTACTTCTACAAGCTCCATTTGGTATGGAAAGTTGATAAGTAGCCTCCTTGATCAGATAAGAGGTACCATTTGGTAAAATGCATTTAATGCTTGCATCAAATAAGTCGAACAGTCACCTACCACCACAAGGAAAGACGATGAAGATAAATGAAACAAATTTGTGAGTTGGACTCAAAGTTTTACAATAGTGATCTTCTTGAAGCTACTATATAAGAAGATTCAAAACACACAAAAAATAGATATAGAATTTACACAAAAGACGTGATATATACATTTTTACATAAATACTCTATAAATCTATTCTTTCTTGTAAACACTCATTACTCTGTATTGGTTGTATAACGTCTAACTAAGACGAACACAACACTTGTGTAACCTTTATAATCCCTGGAGAGGCTTGTCTAAAAAAGAATACTTATTTTGAGCTTGGAGAGGCTTGACTATAAAAGAATACTTGGTTGTTAAGCTTGGAGAGGCTTATTTTTCAAAGAATACTTAAGTAATTGTTTGAAGAGGTAAGTCAAAGAATACTTAGGGTTGAGTCAGAAGTGGCTTGTTGAAAGAATACTTGTATCTTTGTTTAAAGATAGTTAAACTCAATTTGGTTGGATTGAAGACTTGACGTAGTCTCGATGGTTGAAACAAACTAGTATAAAAATACTCTGTGTTTCATTTGACTGCTTTTCATGCTTCATCTAACTAACATTACTACTTTACTATGAAAAATGTGAGTTTTTGATACACACTATTTAACACCCTTCTAGTGTTTATCTTTTCTCCCTAGTTTGGTATTGGAGTTCAACCCTTGACAGGGTTGAGCATTTAACCACGCTAAAGGAAAAAAGATCCATTATGGGAAGTAGTGAATGATAATACCTACCGGAATGAGCCTCTCTTATAAGGCCCCTACCTTTAATGGAGAGGAGTACTCGTATTGGAAAGATCAAATGAAGGTATTCATCAAATCCACCCAATACCACCTTTGGAGAATCATCATTCAAGGTGATGTTTGTTACCAAGCCTGAGAATGAATATACTTAGGATGACTACAACACATTGCAACTCAATACTAAAGCAAGATACATCCTTGCTTGCTCCTTACCCAAAATAAAGTATAACAAGTTCTGCAACTGCTCAACAACTAAAGAAATGTGGGATGTCATTAGGATAACTCATGAGAGTACTAAAGATGTAAAGCTCAAATGTTTTGCTACACTTCAGAGACACTATGAGTTGTTCTCCATGAATGAGAGCGAATCCATGGATGAAATGTTTGGAATATTCCAAACAATTCTAAATGGATTAAAATCCCTGGGAATTGAGTTTTTTTAGAGCTCAGAATAATCTCAAAATCTTGGACAACCTTCCTAAGATCTAAGAACCCAAAGCCATAACTATCTTAGAAGCCTGTGATCTTAAAATTCTCACTCTTGATGAATTCCTTGGAGTTCTACGAGTTCATGAGGTTCACTTGAATAACAGAGATCACCCTAGATCAAATGACACTATTTCTTTAAAGGGTGGTGGTGAGACCAGCAAGAAGAGAGAAAAAGTAAAAGCTTTGAAGGTAGAATTTGAGCCCAACATCTTAGATGATAGTTTTGAGGACTCCATAGATGATGATATATCTCTCATTTCTAAGAAGTTTAAAGACATGTTAAAAAAGAAAGGAAGTTTGAGAAACTTCTATAGAAAGAAGGGCAAGTTCAAAAAGCCTAATCAAATTGACAACAAAGAAGTTGTCTACTATAAGTGCAAGAAATCGGGTCATATGAAGGCTGATTGCCTTTCACAAAGGAAAAGGTGGTCTTCCAAAATTGAAGGCTAAAAAGAGCCTAATGGCCACTTGGGAAGATCTGGATAACAACAATAATGGCAATTCAAATGATGAGAAGGTCAACATATACCTCATTATAGACACTAAGTCAGATGCTACTAACATAGAGATATCCTTAATGAGAAGAAGAAAGGATCCACACTAATAGTGGCTACTCATGACACATGACAGGAGAAAGGTCTATGTTTCTAAACCTCCAACCACATGAAGAATCAGTCTCCTTTAGGAGTGAAAAAGGAAAAATCAAAGGTATGAATCTAGAAGATTTTGTAGATTTGCAAATTGGAGGAGATCCGACGAAATAACTATATACTACAAATTAGATGATGGACTCTCTTGAAGGACAAACAAATCAATCAAATGAATCCACCAAACCTCATATAGACTAAATTTTTTTCAACTATCATTTTAAGATCAAATCTTAAGAGACAAGACTGAAGGCATCAAGACCAAGTCTGCTCTTAGAGATAATGCTTTATGTGCTCTAGTGTTTGAAATGGAACCAAATAATATAGACGAAGCATTAGGAGATGATGACTGGATTATTGCCATGGAGGAGGAGCTCTATCAATTTGAAAGAAATGATATCTAAACCCTAGTACCAAAGCCTGAACACCAAAACGTGTTTGAAACCTGATGGATATTTAGAAACAAGCTAAAGGAACAAGGTAAAATGGTTAGGAATAAGGGTAGATTGGTAGCT